TATTAGGTAGAGCTGCTTTGACTTCAAGTCTTGGGAGTGTGGCCTTGGTAGTGTGGTTCTGTAGGGCCCAGTGACATAGCTTCCCCTATCATCCAAGCTGGTACTCAAAGTGCGCCCTTTGTGTGGGCTGTACATCCTCCTCTTGTTGTTGAGCCTTCATTGCTGTTAGCAGGTCAATGGGAGGGATTTCCCCAGGCCAGTCAGGTGCAAGGACTGGCTGTGACCACTGACCACCAACCTCCACCCTTTGTGGAGGATCAGCTGTGCAGGGGTAGGGTGGTGGTACTTTGACATGGTCTGTACCTGTCCACTGGGTGTGCAGGCTCTGGGGGTTCTTAGGTGGTGCAGGCCAAGGTCAGCCCCCACCGGTGTTGTGCCCCAGTTCCACCCTACGTGAGGTATAAAGCAACTTGAGATGGCTGCTACTTGTGCTGGGCTTTGAGGTTCCCAGGCAAAGCCAGGCTCACTGAGGGCAGCCTTCCAGTGTTTGAGAGGATTTAGGAAGTTGTGAATCAGGAGCCAAGAGAAGCCATTCATATGGAAAAGAAGATGGGTGGCCCCTAAGTTGGGTGGGGCAGAGTCTCTGGTGATCTTCAAGGTGGGTCAAACAGTGTTAATTAGGTTGATGGAGTCTCAGATATGGCACCAGCCTGCTGGCTCTCTGGCTCTGTGTGGGGAGGTCTCAGAAAAGGGACAATGGCCTCTGCTTGCTTGGATGCCAGGCATTCGGTCTCTCCCAGCATGCTACTGGTGCTTTCCAAGCTGCCACTGCAGCACTGGAGCTCAGACAGAGTGAGTCTGAGTAGGTAAGTCCATGTGTAGGTTCTTTAAGAGGAACTGCTTGGGGGTCCAGAAATTTCTTCCACTGAATCAATCACCACCTGTTTTTGCAGCCAGAAGTTATGGGGATTTATCTTCCTGGTGTTGGAACCTTGGGTTGGGGATCTTGGTGCAGGGATGGGACTTCCAAGATACCTCTTCTGAATTTTATTCACCATACGTGGATGTGGAACCAGCCCGTTCCACATTTGTGCCCCTCCCTACGAGTCTGGATGGATGTGGTTTCTTCAACTCCATAGTTGTCAGACTTCCATTCAACTAGATTTCTGACATTTCTGAGTGATGGCTGTTCTACAGTTTAGTTGTAATTTTGATATGGTTGTGTGAAGAGGCAAGTCATATCTGCCTGTACTGCCATCTTGACCAGAAGTTCAAAATAGTCTTAACTGTGGTGAAAGGATTAGAAAACCATCCTACATGCCATTTCTACTATGTGAAATAATTAAGACAGGGAACAGAAATAGTGAAATAATCCCCTTTCACATCTAGGTTTCACTCCTGTGATAAATCAAAGTGATTTAGCTTATTCTAAGGAATAGAAGGGTAAGCCCTTGAGTCCCATCTTTCCCCCTTCCCTTCCTTTTCTCCCTTCTGCTTCTTCTCTTTTCCTTCTTGTTCCCATTTCAAACATTAATTGATAGTACATTAACTAGTGCATTAATACACTATGAGTTTTTTTCAGCCCCTGCCTTCACAGAATTTACTCTCTGGTCCAAACGGGTGGGAACTTCACAAACATCAGTATCTTTAACTATAGTGATAACATCTGACTTTATACAGTAACATCAATCCCATGATTTTTCCTAGAGCTGCCCTTTTCCCCAAAACAAACCCCATTTTGGAAAACATGCCTGATCTTCTCTCCTGAGCATAGGAGCAAAGAAAACTTTTTCTCAGTCTGTAAGTACCCATTATAGCTGGCTGAACCACAGTAAAAATAAGGATTTCCCCCAGGGTAAAAGCTAGGGGAAGCCTCAGAAATATATCTCACGTGACTAGAGCTGTTCAAAAGAAGGACTATAACGACAGAAGGGGGTTATAACAAGTCATTTTTCAGATTTGAATGTTGAGGCCCAGCTAGGTGGATGATTTGCCTGGGGTCACAAGCAAATCAGTGGCAGGTCCTGGGCTAGAGCACAGGTGTACAGGTCCCCACTGAGTACTCTTTCCATCTCCCACTGTTTCTGAGAGTTCCCAGTGTTTACTCAGGGCTAATGTGTGCAACCGCAGGCTGTGCTCTCAGCACCTCTCACATGAGCACAATGCAAACGGCACCCTCAGAGTTTAGCACAGAGCAGCCCTGGGTTCACTGTTGTTCTCCTGAGATTATTTTACGCAGTTCAAGACAATTGTTTAAAGACACTAGTAACTAGGCATGTATTTTGGTCCTTAGGAAACATATAAAAAGTACACTGCACTTTAATTTTATGGATAAGGACATTTCATAGTGATCTAAAGTTCCCTTTAAAATTTAAGTTAAAAAGGTGAGTGAATAAAAATTAAAATATTTTTTTAAAGTAGTGTGACTGGTACAGAAATGTAGCAAACTATCATAAAAGCGGTATGCAAATAACTGAAGTTTAAGAAATATTGTGTTTATTATATCTTGCTGCATCCCTCCAAGATAATGGACTGACAAATTCAGCTGCTCAAGACACACGAGAAGACGACATTCTATGTGAAAGTGCTGACGAATGGGTGGATATACACACATTCAGCAGGAACAGGTTAAAAGCCATTAGGAGAGCTCGTTTTATTCCAGAGGGAGAGAGGCAACTAGATGGGAGAGTTACGCCTGGTGGTCATGAAAATGATTTTGTTTTCAAACACACACTCTGGAATTAGCAAAGGGTCAGGCGGAAACTCTGTAACCTCTTTTCCTGTAATTGAATGTGAACATTTATGAGAAGAACTAGGTTCAAATCCTGCTCCTGCCACTTCCCAGCTTGTTCCCTCTGCCAAGTTCATAAGCCCATTTGAATTTATATATTTAAAAGGCTTGGTTTTGAGGAATAAGTAAAAATGCCTTGAGAGGGGGAGTGAGAGAAAGACTGAAAGAAGAAGAAAAAGAGAAGAATGATGAGAAAGAAGAAGCCAGGTTGGAGGGGCTATAAGAAGAATGGGAACTGGTGAAATGATCTCAGACTTCATGTGCTGAAATAGTCATTCTTGTCACAAGCTGCTAGATTTTCTTCTTATAAAAAACATTTCTAAGGTGGCAGATGAATATATTTTTAAAAGTTTTCCTGAAACATAACACTCCAATGGGATGTGTTAGAGAAATGCCAAGAAAAGAAGACAGAAGAGGAGGTAAAGTCCTTGGAAGAAGAGGAAGATAAAGTGATTTATGGAAAAAGTCTCACCTCCTCCAAGAAGCCTTCCTGACCTCCCAAGTGATATGGACTATCTTTGACTCTTCCTGTACTTACACACCTTCTACTACAGTTGGTGCAGTGATTTGGGAGCTTTTGTTTGTCTGTCATTCCCATTCGATAATAAACCTTTGAGTGTTGGGACTCAACACTCCTGTATTCCCAGTGAGTCCCACAGCACCTGGCACGTGATATGCTTGGTTACTGTTTGTTGAATGAATAAGCTCAAGTCAAGGCTTATTCATTCAAGTCTAGAAGCCATGTCATTTGAGGGATGAATGGCAGTCCAGAGGACATGTAGCCTGGAGAAGAGATAACTCTGGGGGATATACTCACTATTTCTAATATCTGAAGAGTGATCTTGAGGGAGGATATTTGAAATGGGCTTTATGGTCCCCCTGGCATGTCTAGGACTAACAGAGCAAGTCCTGAGCCACTGTAAAAAGTCCTAACCACCAGAACTGGCCAACAATGTTTCGGGGGGAGCAAGGGCTCATCTCAGCAGAGACCAGATACCACTTTTCAGTGTTTCATGTACTGTGTTAAATGATCTCTCTAACCTGCCTGTCTCCTATTCTTCTTGTGAGTCTCTTCTCATTTGTTTGTGAGGTTTCTGGCCAATTTTATTTATTTATTTATTTATTTATATTTTAAAAATATGTTCATTGATTTTAGAGAGAAAGGAAGGGTGAGAGAGAGAAACATTAATGTAAGAGAGAAACACTGACCAGCTGCCTCCCACATGCGCCCCTACCAGGAATTGAACCTGCAACCCCCAACCCTGTGCTGTGTGGGATGAACCAGCTCAGCCACACCAGCCAGGGCAGTTTCTGCCTGAATTTAAAACATCTCCCCACTGGACACCTCTATCCATTCTTAGAACCATGGACCTCAGAGCTGAAAGGAACCTTAGAATTCATTTGGTCTCATCTTTTCTTTGTACCACTCTATAGATAAGAAAACTGAAACCCAAGTCATGTAGCTAGATTATGGTGGGAGATTGCCCTAGAACCCAGATTTCCAGGGTTCTTTTCATTGCTGACCAAGATGTGGTGTCTGACCAGTATGGCTTTTCTTGTTTTTGAGTCTTACAGTACCTCAGCAGGTACTGTATCTTTATTCTCCACCCTCACTTCAGAATAAAAATTGAAAAAGAATTTGCAGAATTGCTACACACTCAACATAATAAAAATAACATTATATTTGTTTACGATTTTATTTATTTATTTATTTTCAGAGAGAGAGGAAGGGAAGGAGAAAGAGGGAGAGAAGCATCAATGTGTGATTGCCTCTCACGCGCCCCCTACTGGGGACCTGGCCTGCAACCCAGGCATGTGCCCTGAGTGAGAATCAAACCAGCGACCCTTTACATCACAGGCTGGCACTCAGTCCACCAAGCCATACCAGCCAGGGCAAAAAGAACACCATATTTTTGATAAACCATATTGCACAGTGGTTTAGGGCCATGAGCTTGGAGCAGAATGCATAGCCAAAGAACAGCAGAATGTACCCCCATGTTTGTGAGCCTTGATGCAGAGCTCCACGTGCCCAGAAGCAGAGACACCTGTTTTTAATTTACACAGGTGATGCTTGGGATTGAAATGTGCAGATCAGAGACACCTGGGTTCTAGGTGCTCTGTTTTTCTAGCAGCGTCACACTGAGCAAGTCAGTTAGCTCTCTGATCCTCAGTTTCCTCATTTATAAAAATAGAATAACCATACCTACCTCCTAGGGTGGGTAGTAAGACTTACATTAATTAAAAAACAAACAAACAAAAAAACCCAGCAATTCTTCTGTAGCTCATAAGTGTGATGATTGGGTGTTCATGCTCTTCTGTGATATGTGCCTTCCACAAACCTTGTCATGACATCAGCACATTATCCATCTGACACGAAAAAAAAAACCCATATAAAAGTCTAAGAACAGTACCACAATGAGCTCTTAATATATATTATTTAAAAACAGCCCTAGTCTTTTTGTTCTTCTTCCCAGTCTCCTCCGAGATATAAAAAGAGATAATTGAATAACCCTTCTCAACATTCCAGCCTCTTTTCTTTCAATGGGAAATAACCCTGCTCGATCCCAATGCCTGTCTCCATGGACGCCCCCCCTGCGTTCTAACTGGGCGACACTGCATAGTCACTTCCCTCTGCGAGCATGTTTCTCCATCTGTAAATGAAGGCAGGAGAGGAAGGGATGTCTACTTTCTATTTATAGCCATCCGTTATTGCAAGTATATCTTAATTTTGTAATGTAAAGAAATACAGGATTTAAAAAAAAACAAAACGGACAAGAATGCTTAAGGTCCCTGACTGCTCTTAAACTGTTTGAGCCTGAAGGAGGAAAGAAACTTCCTCCTTCCCCCACTGCCATTCTCTCCCCCTTCATCCCTACCTTGTCTCTGACTTAGAAAACAGAACACGGCAGGAGTGTGTGATGCGGCTGCGAGGACTAGAAGACACGGGCTTCTCTGGATCCCCAGTAGGGACCAGCTCCAGAAACCGCTGTAGCTGGAAATGCGGAGAGAAGCCCAGACCAGATCTGGTTGCCTCACGTGGCTGGAGCACAGCCCATCTTTTACATTTGAGCACTTTTCTTTATGATTTCACCGTGTATTCCCACCCAGAACCGACTTTCCTTTAGGGAAATCCAGCAGCTGAGTTAGAGAAATACAGACCTCAAAGTGTGCAAACTAATAAAGAAACGAAGTTCATAAAAATTTCTGCAACAAACCCTGGCCTCATTCTGGTCTCTCTCTCTCTTTCTCTCTCTTAAGAACCAAATAACTTAAGCTTTTCTGACTGAATGACATTAATTTTAATTTCATGTTTTTTCTTTGGCCCATTTTAATACAGAGATGCCACAAGCTGGTTACCCAAAAGATTTATATTCAACAATTTTCAAAGAGAACATAAAATTTAAAATTAGAAATATATGGAGTGGTCCCTGGCTGGTGTGACTCAGTGGACTGAGTGCTGGCCTGAGAACCAAAGGGTGGCAGGTTTGATTCCCAGTCAGGGCACATGCCTGGGTTGCAGGCCAGGTCTTCAGCAGGGGGCATGTGAGAGGCAATCACACATTGATGTTTCTCTCCCTTTTTCTCCCTCCCTTCCCCTCTCTCTAAAAATAAATTTTAAAAGTCTTAAAAAAAAAGAAATATGTGGAAAGGCATTTCTGACTTCTCTGGAAAAATTACAGAAGGTCCAGTAACAATGAGATCACATTTCCTCAAGGCAAAAATTGGCTCAGATTAAGTAGGCGCTACCTCCTTGGGGCATGGACTCGTCAGATGACCGGTTTCTACGCCTCCCTTGAGGCCTCCCTGATACTGAACCCCAAGGTCAGTATCAATTTTACACTGTTAATTACATCACACTTCACTAGAGCCTGATCCCTGTAGTCAAATGAGTTTATGAGTTCAGGAATAGATTTTAAATGCAATCATCTATGAATTAACAATGGTGTGAATTTTTTTGCAGTCCATTAGAACATTTTTAAATGCAATGAATGAGATTGCATGGACCTGGCAATATAGTATGGACCTGGCATATCATAGGCACTCAATAAAGAGTAGCTGATATTTGTAGTACTACTATTAAAAATGATTACTTAACTGGAATGTAGCATGTCACTTTGAGGACAAAATTAGGTCAATGATGCATTTAAGAGAACACAAATGGGACTCTAAAAAACATTGAAAAGTAGTATAAATCTTTACTGAATACCCTTGAGCACAGAGGAAAATATCACAAACATCATATGTTTGTGATATGTTTTTATGAAACATATTTCATAAAATAAACACACTTATTTTATGAAAACCCTCATTACCAAGCTCTGTGCCTAGAGTTCTCCTCTTCAGATGACAGCACCTTTGATTGCCTGCCTTTCTTCTCATTTCCAGCTTCCTCTGCCTTCCTGCCCCCATTCTTTCTCCTGGAAAGTCATCTGGATACTCTCAGCTTCTGTTAGTCTCTTGATGAGAGGGTAAAAAGGGCAGGCAGCATTATTTGTAAAACTTATATTTATGCTTTCTTCTTCTATCCTTGTGTCAATTAATATTTGGTGATTCCTGAGAAACTACAGAAGTTATCTATACATTGTCAGACTTCTGCCAAGATGAAGGCATAGGTGGAAACATTGTGCCTTCTCGCACAACCAAGTTTAAAAACAACAAAGTTTTAGCAACAAAAAACGCAGTCAAACCACAGAAAATTGAACTATATGAAAGTCCGACAACAACAAACCATTCAGCCAGACCAGTAAGAGGGGCAGAGCCAGCAGTGGAGCGGGTAGGGCAAAAAAGATCCCGCTGACCCAGGTGCGCAGGCAGCCTTTGGAGGATTCCAGGTGTGGGGTTGTGACAGGAAGACCCAGTGAGGGCTCAAGGTGGCTGCTGACCGCGGTCACACATTTGTGCGCAGATAAATCAGAGAAGGAGTGAGCAGTGAGACAGACTGCACAGGCCCCAGCGGCAGGAAGCAGCAGAGGGGACCACTATTGCTCCCTCTCTGACCCTGCCCCCACATACAGTGTCACAAACCAGCGACCTGGGTGGCCCCACCCTGGTGAACAACTAAGACTTCCCTCTTCATATGTAATAGGCTCAAACAGACCAAAACATGGCTCAAGAAGATTTCAAATCCCCGGAGCCGATAATTCTAAGCAACCAAGAAATTGCCAACCTATCAGATGCACAGTTCAAAACACTGGTGATCAGGATGCTCACAGAACTAGTTGATTTTAGTCACAAATTAGAAGAACAAATGAAGGCTAAACTAATTGAAATGAAGGGAAATGCACAGGAAACTAATAGTGATGGAAAGGAAACTGGGACTCAAATCAAAGGAGTGGACCAGAAGAAAGAAAAAAATGACCAAACTGAAAAGAATGAAGAAACAAGAATTCAAAAAAATGAGGAGAGGCTTAGGAACGTCCAGGACATCTTTAAACACCCCAACATCGAATTATAGGGGTGCCAGAAGGGGAAGAAAAAGAGCAAGTGAAAAACTTATTTGAACAAATAATGAAAGAGAACTTTCCCAGTCTGGCAAAGGCAATAGACTTCCAGGAAATCCAGGAAGCTCAGAGAGTCCCAAAAAAGTTGGACTCAAGAAGGAACACACCAAGGCACATCATAATTATATTAGCCAAGATTATAATGAAGGAGAGAATCCTAGAAGCAGCAAAAGATAAGGGGACAGTCACCTACAAAGGACTTCCCATCAGACTGTCAGCAGATTTCTCAAAAGAGACCTTCCAGGCAAGAAGGGGCTGGAAAGAAGTATTCCAAGTCATGAAATCCAAAGACCTACAATCAAGATTGTTCTATCCAGCAAAGCTTTCATTTAGAATGGAAGGGCAGATAAAGTGCTTCTCAGATAAGATCAAATTCAAAAAGTTCATCATCACCAAGCCCTTATGTTATGAAATGTTAAAGGGACTTACCTAAGAAAAAGAAGATAAAAAAGATGAACAGTGAAAGGACAGCAAACTCACAGTTATTAAGAACCACACCTAAAACAAAAGCAAACTAAGTGGACAGCTAGATTAGGAGCAGAACCATAGAAATGAAGATCACATGGAGGGTTAGCAACAGGGGTGTGGGAGAAGGAAAAGGGGGGAGAAGGTACAGAAAATAAGTAGCATAGATGGTAGGTAGAAAATGGATAGGGGGGAGGGCAAGAATAGTATGGGAAATATAGAATCTAAAGAACTTGAGACATGTGGTCATAAACTAAAGGGGGAAATGGTGGGGGAGGGGTGTGCAGGGTGGAGGGGAATGAAGGGGGGAATAGAACAACTGTAATGGCATAATCAATAAAATATATATTTTTAAAAAGTTATCTATAGATTTTCAAACATCCAAGAAAGGAGTTCATATAATTTGGACTGGGGTGGGTTAAGATCCATAATACAGGGAGGCCTCTATTAAGGACACCAGGGACATAGAGTTTGGGGCACAAATGGATGTAAATTGGTGAAATCATGACAATGCCCTTCTGCTTCCCACCACTCTGCTTCCCCAGTGCATCACTCTCCAACACTGGCGAGGAGCTCAGCAAGAATGAGTGGAAATTTCAGACTTGAAGCTGTCATCCCTTGCCTGGCTTCTGAGAAGAGAGAGGGGTCCGAACGACCTTCAGCAGAATTCTACAGTCCAGAAACTCACCTGGGTGTGCAGCGACTGGCATTTAAACTGACAGATGTGAGGAGTAAAAAGGGTCCATGTGTGTACTGCATGGAAGTCAAGTGTATGTTTTTAAATCAAGTGTGTGCAACATATGAATGAGCAGAAACATTAAACACAACCTTTAGGAGAAGACAACAGGCAAGTGCAGACACAAAGAAAGCAGAATATGTATTATTCATATTATACAACAAATTCAAGGAAAGTAAAATCTATTTAGATATTTACCAAAAGGAGAGCACTACATAACAAAATGTATGGGAATGGGCCAAGTCTCTACTTACAAGAAGATTACGAACGCTACATTTCTTTATTCTAGAACTAAGAGTGAAAACGCCAGAACTGAGCAGTCAAATTAAGAAACATGACAAAGAGGAGGAAGCAGACAAAATACAAAAGGTGTTTGGCGGCAGTCAGACCCATGGGTGTGGGACAAGGGGAGGAAAGGGGTCTCTCGAATGCATGAATCATATGCCCATCAAGGTCCAAAGACAACCAAAACAGCTCCGTCACAGAAGCAAGGGAAATAAAGTCTCAATGGAGAAGCAATGAGTTGTAGAAAGGAGGACATAATAAACAGCACCAAATACGAAAGTGAGATCTAATGCAAAAATTACTTAAATTTCTACAAAATTTGGCAATTACCAAATTGCCAAATAAGAGGCCACTAGAGGTTATTTGGCGGTTTCCACAGAAAGAAA